CAAGCTTCAGTCCAGACGAGCTTGAAAGAAGATTTATCAGCAATCCAAAAATATCATAAATGATTATTACACTATGTGTGGCCGTACAGAAGGCTACAGACGGCCTTCTGAGCATATTGAAGAATAAAGACTGGAATGGAGAAGAGCAAGCTTTGAATTCAACCAAGTCTCATGAATCCGGACCAGAGGGTGGCTGCTGCTGCCAGTTTACTAATCCAATCTCCTCCTGGAGAGATTAATGATTGTTTAACGGGTGACTCATTCTCGTAGCTTTGACTTTGCCCAGTGTATCAAACCGACTCACCACACTCCGCCACAGACATACGGGTTATCATTGATGACGATAATCGGCTCCAGACAGGCATAGATAAAGCTCTCAGAGACTATAACATCGCTCAATTTGTCACCGTCCAGTCGCCCGGTAAGGATCACCAGGTATGCCACTTTCCACGCTGCACACTACAAGTATCAATCCAAACGACAAAAGGTTATAATCAGTGATGCTGGAAGAATTGGATCCGCTGAAGAAAATAGATTTCTCGACCCTCGTACAAAGAAGTCTTTCGTGTTTGATCATCTAGGCCTTGTAAGTGTTGGCCCTCGCTTGCTGATAAGGAGCGTTTATGTTTATTCTAGGAAGCCTCGGATCCACGAGATGAGGAGGTGGATGGAGAGTCTGAACCATTCCGGTAAGTCTTTAACTCAGGCATTCGACGCCACTCCTAATTGCTATCAGAGCCGCTCTCGATAATGCTGCTCAGGAGTATATAACTGAGCACTACAAAGATGGTGTAGCAAGCGTATTTGTTCCTTCACCAGGGAACCTTGTCCTTCAACTGGTCGCCAACAAGTACAACCCACAAAACTTTTGGTCTGGTAGATGGAGGTCGAAGTACGAAATTGACCTCAACGAGAAGTCGGTCAAAGGGGTTGTCAATGTGACGGTGCATTACTATGAACAAGGCAATGTAAGCAGATCACTCCACCTGCGTTGAATATAGCTCACATTGTCACGAATAGGTACAATTGACTACAGGATTCCATCCGACTATTTCGTTACCCCCATCCTCTCCTTCCCCACAAGCAGCAAGACAACTATTATTACAAATCATCGAGGCGGAAAATACGTATCAGACGACTCTGAGTGATACATATCATGATTTGGGCGAGAAGAGCTTCAAAGCGCTGCGACGGGCTTTACCGATGACTCGAAACAAGATAGACTGGGACAAGGTGAGCTATTATATTTTAAATTGCGGAGGTTTGCGCTCATAATCATGTCCACTCCAGGTCACCGGTTATAAGCTTGGCGCTGAGCTCACTGCAAGTCGTGGAGGATTTGGATCATGAGGACCTGGATTTGTGCATTTGAATAGAAGTAACACTAAGGATTCAGCTGAATGTTGTGACGAGACTGAGCGGGGCGTGAATGAATCATGGGTCATGTGAAATCGAACCTAAGACGGTCTTCCTTGTGGCGGCACGTCGAGCTCATAAATGCCGACGAGACTGGTCACATTATTTAGTTGAATCTTGAACCCTCACCACAACATTCATGTCGTCCGAAAGAGAAAACTTTAAGCAAGAGGTTGCTGCTGTTGAGCGCTGGTGGAAGCAGTCCCGCTTCAGCCGAGTGAAGAGACCCTACACGGCCGAGCAGGTCGTATCGAAGAGGGGAACACTACCGATTCAATACCCTTCAGACGCTCAAGGAAAGAAACTTTGGGCCCTTCTTGAGCAGCATTGGAAGAAGGGAACACCTTCACATACCTATGGAGCGTGAGTCATCTATTATGGAAATTGTATCGTATTATCGTTCTAAACTTGTCACTTCTACTAGCTTGGACCCCGTGCAAGTCACACAAA